AAAAAAAAAAAAAAGGAGAATGCCCAATTTGGTTTCGAAAAGATTAGGGTTCTTACCGCTCTGGTCAAGCAATTCTCCTCCCCCGTAACGGAACTGGTGCGAGAAAAAATGATTCAGGAAACCATGTATTTCACTGAATGACCGAAGCTGCCCATCCAGTGTAGAGCCGTTCATGCGTGTCTCCCACAAGATACGGGGCTCGCCGTCGATGACGTCAACCTTCGGAAATACGTAGTAGTTGTCCATCTCCTTTTTCAGCGGAAGTGGCATCTCCTGTCGCCCATCCTCAATGAACAGCCTCCGAAGGTCCTCCATTGAAGTCAAGTGAGGCGCCTCAAATGCATTTACATAGAACAGTATGCTGAAGAGTAATACGTGTGGGCTAAAACAAAGCGATACACCATAGATAATTTCTGGTAAGGCGAAGGTATTACTGTTTTATTGATCAGTTCAATGAGCCCACCCGGTACCAGGATTGAGCGAGGTACGACGCTGAGGGTCACGTACACCTTGTACATTCCGAGGACACTTTTCACAAACTGGGGATCGATTTCGATCATCCGCACCGGTGGTCCTCCATGCGGATCACGCTGCAGAGTTATCTGCAAATGCTTGAACTGGAGATGTAGCATCGCCTGTTTCCGGTTGACAGTAAATAGCCCGATGGTGTTGTAGAGACATAGAATAATTCGCTGAAAGCCAAGATGAAATCGCCTTTTCTGGGTTTGGAAAATTGTCTCATTGAACGGTACCATATCTTCGATATAGACCGGGACATTTGCCCGGGGCTGTTTGTCCAACCCTCGTTTATCGATCAGGTGTCTCATTCCCTGCCCGCGGTCAAATGACATGCTGATGGAGACGGAATCCAGGAAGGATGGAACGTACAGTGCGCACCGCCTCACCCATTTCCTTGCTCATCTCCTGCTTCGTGACTTTGGTGTAATAGACTCGGAAATACTTCCAATCCGCTTGAAGGGCACTGGCTTTTCTGTAGCCCTTTAGGCGGCGACCGTCCAAGCCGTACTTCAGCTTGAGACACCAATTCAGAAACCGGTGGATGTCGTTTGGGGAGGCTTGACGTAAGGCCTCCTCTGGATCTTCCCACTTCGGATCGGCTGATGGCTCGATTGCTTTAGTCCGACAGTACCTAAAAGCATACGAGTCAGAGATCGGTCCATCAAGGCAACATTTCAGTATAGCCTGGTCGGTATGGATACTGACCGAGCCCAGCGATCCTCCAGTCGAAGGTTCAGTTTCCGGGTATTATTCGATTTGCCATAATCCCCCGGCACCTTAGACAGATCCTCATCTGTATCATCAGCTGGATCTTCGTAACGGCCCTGATGAACCACCTCCACGGCCGACACATCTATGATATTCTCAGTTTCCGAAACTTTGAACTCTGCGAAGTCCGCTCGCTCGCGTCCTGAAGCAGGGCCTCGCCGTATTTTCCTTCTCTGGACCTTCTGAGAAGGGGGAGGCAGGTATTCCGGTTCCGTCAGGTCCGTCTCCGAGCTAGGTTCGACGGATCTATCGTCATCGGTAATTCCAGGAGACGTGGTGGATGATTCAGTAATGGCAGTGCGGGAGGTTGCACTGGTTTCTCTCCGACGGCGCATGATCAAATTCGTAAGCTGACCGTAGGGAGAAAAGGGTACAGGAAGAGTCAAGGAGATCCTAGGACGTAATAGTCGGTATTCGGTTTAGTAGTTGGATAAGGACAAGGTTGTTTTTCGGTGATTCGATATAAGCACAAGGTGACGAAAAATAAAGGGATAGAAAAACAGGAACAGCCGGGCGTGTTATAGTCATATTGTTGATGCACTGGCCAGAGACCAGCTGGCATGGCGCTGGGGGCGCCATTGGCGGCGTTGTCAATGAGATTCCAAGAGCTGTGACGGTAAAGCGGAGGATGTGCCTACATGGACGAGTCCTGATGGACGCGCCCACGATGTTGACAGCCTCAGGCATGAAATCTTACGCTAGATGGTGCGTCGACATAAAGCGCGGGAGCGTGGCAGAAGGGAGCTGCTGAAATATGGCCCTTTTCGGCAGTCACCTGCTGCCGAAAAAGGCAGCCAGGTAGCAAATCGCAGTTCTTATATAGTAAAATAGATAATTTAAATATATTAAATAAAAAAGAAATATTATATTAAAATAAATTTAAAAAAAAAACTAAAAGAGATAATAAAGTAATAACAGTTAAAGACTTAGTCAGAGAATCTAAATCTAAAAATAATATATTAATAGTTTAAATAAAAAATTTATTAAAATATAGTAAATAGATACTTTAGAAAAATCTATTTATAGATAAATATAGCTGACTTATATCTATTTTATTATCTGATAATTAAAAATATTCTATTATAATTAAAATAATATAAAATAAATCTTAAAGTTCTATTAAATAGATAGTTAAATATATAAAATACTAGTATTATTTAGTAATAAAAACTACTATAAATTATAATAAATAGTATACCGAGCTTAAATATTATTTTATAGATAAGTATAAGTACTCTATAATCTATATCTATATAAATAAATCTAATTATAGATTAATTTATAGTTTTCTATAATTTTTTATCTCTGTTCTCTGTTCTTGATTAGTAGAATAAAAATTATAATTAATTTTTTATTTTATTATATATTATTCGAGACTTCTTAGCTATTCTAATTAGTGGGATTAATATTAAGAATCTTTTTAGTATAGTATAAGATATTTATTATTATCGGTATAACTGTTTGACTTTAAATACTATTCAGTCTCTAATAATTTAGATAATAATTAATATTTTTTATTTATATAAAAAATTTTATTTTCTTTTTAATAATAATAATTATATAGAAATAGATTCTAAAATAGATCTAAATATAGAATCTATTTAGTATATCAGTAATAATAAAGATTTAGAGAGAATAGAGAAAAATAATAAATCTAAAATATTTATAGATAAATTTTCCGGAGAGATTATAATTTTATTTACTAAATTAATAATTTCTAATAATCTATAATAGAAAGTACTAATTCTAGATTAGTTATACTGTATAGCTATAAATTAACAATCAGAATTTTTTTAATATTTAAATAATAGTAAAATATAGTTAAATACTAAGAATAAATATATTATTATTTTATAATTATTAAAAGACTCTTAGATATACAGTATACTTTATAATATAAATTTATCTATAGTTAGATTATTTTATATAAACTATCTTATATTTATATAATATCTTTATTTATAATTAATTAATAATATTAAATAATTATTTTATATTTAGAAAATCTATCTATAGAGAGAATTTATTATATATAATAAATAATTATATTGATTTTATATTTAGAAAATATAGATAGATAGGTTAAATCCGACCCAGATAACTCTCCCTAATCTGACCCGGGCAGATTCCCCGAACCCAGACCGGATTAAGGCCCTAGAACCTGTAACCCGGAGCGGGTTCTGCCTTCTATCCCCGCCCCCGACCCGGAGCCGGGTTGGGGCGGGTTTGGGTCGGGTTCGGCGGGGAACCCGTGCCACTCTAAAAAAGAGTAGTAAACTGAACTTTATATTCTTTTCTTATCGAGATAGAATGTTCTTGCCTATTATATACTCACTGTAAAATTATATTAGTATTAGTAAAACTTGTAAGAAAGATATAAGCTTCTTCAATACCTTTCCCAGATTGCTGTTATACTCTTGTAGATATGGCAGCTATAGAGTGGCACGGGTTCCCCGCCGAACCCGACCCGAACCCGCCCCAACCCGGTCCGGGTGCGGGGAACCCGAGCGGGTTTTTCTTGGTATTATAATATCGATTTTCTAGATTTTTTCTAGATTTTTATATAGATCTAGAATATATATATATATATTTTTAATATCAATTCTATATATATAGAATTGGTAGAGATATAGAGCTTAAACAGTTTTTATACTAGACTTATTTAGGTAAGGTCTATAATTAATAAGCAACACCTTACCTAATTAGATTTAGGCTAATTTTGGCGGGGAACTCGCGGGTCGGGGAGGCCTAAACCTAGCGGGTTTTGGGTCGGGTGCGGGGAGACCTATCAAAAACCCGACCCGCGTGCAACTCTAGTTAATCTATTAAATACTATAAAATATAATATAGTAACTCTATATAACTATCCAAGAGAATATTACTATTTCCTATACCAGTCTTAGCTATATTGAGAGCTAAGTTACTAGAGACTATTTTATACAATTATATACTGTATCTACTTCTTCTATTAATTAACAGTAGAGAAGTTTCCCCCGAATAGATTCCTCGGCAAGACTTAAGACAAAGCTGAGTTCGGTTTACCTTGTAGCTCTACACAGCTATTGTTCGCCCCTGAAAAGCAGTAAGAGAGAATAGTTCTAGGATCCTCTTCTACAGATATACTCTATCCATCCCGAACTATATTCAAATAGAAATTTAATTGTAGTATTCCCGCTTACTATACTAACTATAAGACTCCTATCTACTTTTGAAAATATTACTATATAGTCTTCTCGAAATCGGCTTTACTAATAAATATATTGTGGTTCTGGGTAGTAACCACCCTATATATATATCACCTAACCGATTGAATCCTTGTTCAGGATTCAATTGTGAGCCTTTTGGTCGAGCGGGTTAGGTGACTCCTAATGGGAATCACAATATAATAACTATTTCCCCTCCCCGCTACAAAGACCCAAGTATAAATAGATAATCGAGCTAGCAGCTCTGAACTGAGGATCCCCGTATTTTATTTTTCTACGGCAAATATATTGTGTAGTACTAAACTGTTAATATACACTGTTATACATAACTATCCCAAATCTGAGAAAATATAAAATTAATTAACTCTACAATAAGCAAGGCGATACTAAAGCAAGATTTTTTTGGCTGCTTTCAGATTATCTATCTCTTTTAGAAACTGTCGCTGTTTCTGTTTAAGCACTGTTTCCTTGCCCGCAATTTCCTCTAGTTATTCTCTAGTCAGCTTATTAATAAAGGACAGCAAGAATAGCTTTATAGAACTTCCGGTCTATTTACTAAATAATAACCCGCTGCTGTATATAAATATTATTAACAAACCGCTTCCGGGCTACTTTATAGTAGGAGCGGAGGATATTAGAAATATCTTATACTATATATACAATATTACTTATATATTACTGATAATTTAGATTATTTATCTGTACTATCTTCCTGTCTGAGCAATTATTAAATATCTTTTTTTTTTAATTATACAGCTTGTCACAGATCCGATGATGACTCTGCATGATGACTGTATCGTATACCCTGCCCGTTGTGCATATACAGCTCGGAGGCCGAACGGCGACGACAGATCACATATCCATCGTCTTTTCAATAGCGTATAGTAGCTCCTTGTCAGTCTTATCCTGTTAGGAGAATAAGGGGCTTCTTCTGGATATAAAGTTAGCCTAGTGTTAATGAAAGAAGGAGGCAAGAATCAGTCTTCTGTCTGCCTGATATCTACTGCTTAGCTTTCAGCCTACGTACCCTTACCTAGTTGACAGGTCTTCTACCCTGAATAGTAGATATTTTCTTGACACAGCTCTTCTACTCCTGTCGACTAGTAAAAGTCAGCAAAGGTATAATTAACAGTATACTAATGTGATCGCAGCTACGCTGAGGTGACGGCACTACAGAGCTACGTGAGGGAGCCTTTCACTCTAGCTACGGCCCTAGTGACTGCACCACGGGCTTAACCCTACGGTGCTTAACTACCCTGTGTATATAAAGGACGTAGCGACCCCTACCTTTAGTAGGAGGTCGGCAACTCTCTACCTCTCATAGCATACCGCTACTTACAATCACACTAAAAAGTGTAATAATACTATTTCTTAAGAGAATTGTTGAGATAGTGATTCAATATTGTCGGCGTACCTGATTACTCAATATAAAGAAGAAATACTACTTTATTAACTGCCTTTTTATATCTTGCTAGGAGGTTATCTATTAGAATAGATAGTAAATTGTGGTATACACAGATATCAGAACAGGCCAGGTTTAATACCCGGAGGATAAAATTATATCTAATAGTAATAATATTGCCAATATACCTATTCACGAGAGATATCTAAACTAGTAGGTCAAAAGTCTGAAGACACCCGAAAAAATCGGAAAAATGCAACAATTTCAAATTAGATTTTCTCAACCAATTTAAATGATTTTAATCTATAAATTGGTTCTATAGAACCCCCATATCAATACTTTGTATACCAGCCACGTGCCCGATGTACAGCATGAAGCCTGCAAGGTATAGATAGAATTAGGCGATCAATGACCTCCTGTGGGATGGCCTACCAAGCCTCCTGAATATGTTCTTTAAAGAGCCTCCAGTCGATTTCTGACCTCCCCCCTAGAAAGAGTATAGGGTAGAGCTCCAAAAGCTTGCGTTTTAGCAGGGCCCAGATGTGCTCTATAGAGTTTAAATCAGGCGAATAGGACGGCCATTCTAGGACCCAAATCCCATGGGATTCAAACCAGGCCTGTGCTTTGTAGAAAATATAAATTTTTGTATTTCTTGTTAGAATATAATTCCAGGCTTGTAGATTGGTAGGAGGTCCTTTTCTAGGCAGGCGAGATAGGATTTTGTTGAATAACTACCTTGTTTTGATAATTTATCCTGTTCCATAACCACTAAATCTGATCGACCACCCAGCTATATAGAACCATATACCATTTGGGATATATTTTTTCTATGGTTTATTAGGTCCACTAGATCATGCCTATAGGCCCCATTTGAGAAACGAAAGATATATTTGGTAGAGGAATTAGACTTTCTCTGCACCGAATATTTATTAGAAAACATGATATCTTTCCAATCGGGATAATTTAACCACGCACGCGCAAATTTAAGGCGCTTTTTAGCTATCTCAGGTGTTAAAGCAATCCTTTTCTTACTTTTCTACTTTTTTAAATGAAAAAGCTTTAGAACCCGCTTAACTGTAGAGGTAGAGATTCTAGAACCACTATCTGTATATAGAGCTCTGTAGCTTAGTTTAGGCCTCCGGCGCGCTAGTAGATATATATAGCATTTAGTAGAATGGTTCAGCTTTGTAGGTCTACCCTTTCTAGGGAGTGACTGTAGGGTGTTGTTTTGTAGAAAGCGTTTTTTAGTTGAATAGATTGTGCTGTGACTGACGCCAAATTGCTTGGCTAATTGAGTTGGTGATGCCTGGTTTTCTAGTGCAGATATAATAGCTGCGCGGCTTTCACTAGAAAGCTCAGAATTAGGCCTTCGATTTCCACTAATTTCAGTCCCAAAAGCCCTTATTTTGATGAGATTGTAGGTGGTTGAAAAAGTTGCGATTTTTTGACGCGTCGGGGGAACGCGCTAGTGTCTTCAGACTTTTGACCCACCTTAATAAATGGTACTTCGATAATTACTTTTTCTTGATTGTTGAAAGAAGAACAAAATTAGATATTCCAATCTCAAATCCGCAGGACCCTCGGTATTGCTTTTCTATCCAGTAATATATATCGCCATATAAAGAATATACAATCTCATCCTGCGCTGCTATCTTTTGTGCCAGTGTTACATTCTCTCTGTAGAAGTACAGACGTTTCATAAGTTTATAAAGAGGCGTATTTCCTTCTGAATCTTGAGTAGTCGCGTCCACCCCATGTTTAAGAAGATACTCGACTGCCTGGGTCTGTCGCAAACTGATTGATATTATATAGAGAGCGGTAGTACCGGATTTATCGGTCTGGTAGATATCGAGACCATGTGCAATCAATAGATCTATAACAGCCGTGTCAATAGAATCACAGTCTGGAGATCGTCGAGCCAACCAATATAAAGCTGTCTGTCCCTTATAGTCCGATATACTCGCATCGGCACCATTTTTATATAGATATTAAATAATATTCTTTAATCCTTTTCTATTACCGGTTGCGTAGCTAATGACAATATAATATAAGACTGTGAGCCCATCATTATCCTGCGCATTGATAGTCCTCGGATTGGCAGTCAACAATATCTTGAAGATACCAATATTTCTAGGGGCAATGTCGTCTTCTCTGACATATTTCTTAAGTTCCAGCTTATCATTACCTATAGCTGCCCAGTGCAATGATAACCTTCCAAAACTATCACAAGTAGAAACCATGTCCGCAATTTTCGCATCGTCTGGATAATCTAGCAGTGCCTTGACCCCCTCTATATTCCAATAAATACTCCCATAGTGAAGTGCAGTGACATCCCGGAGATCAACATCAAACCAAAATCTACTGTCCGTATACTCCTCTCTTGCATAAATATTTGCTCCTTGTTCAATAAGACGTTTCACTAGCATGTAGCTAGCTCTAGAAATGGCCAGGCTGAGAACAGTGTCGCGCGGTTGCGGTGGTGACTGGTAGGGCACTTCATTTTCCCCACGACATCATAGGGAGACATGGAGGATTTGATTAATTCCTGGCAGGCTTGAGGCTTCATGTCAGCGGGTTACCCGCAAAAAATATATTTCTAAGCACGAAGCATGTATCATGCCAAACTTTCACCTGTAGTTTGCCAATTGACTGGAATAATAGACAGAAATTTTAACTTAATTCTAATGAAGCTAGCATAGGGGCTATGGGGAGTAGAGAAAATAGAGTGGTCCGTGGGTTGGGACCGAGGCCGACTCTAATATACCTGATCTTATTTCATTATAGCCTTCCGGCGGTATATATAGTCGGCATTTCCTGACGGTTATAACGAGCAACTTATATGGTAGATTACCTAGATGATTATTGGTATCTTATATAACATGTGGTTTAAAGATCTCCGGTGATCATATTGAACTTACACATCTGTCTAATATTAGTGTAACATAATACATTTGGAAAAAAGGTATTCTAAAGCCCAAACGACGGATCAAGAAGTACCGCGTCAACTCAGATAGGGGAGCCTCTCTGTCGGCAAATGTCTAGTGGTTGTCACATTCGTAGACATAGTCGATAGTAATCTGACAGCCGTCTTCCCTGTAGAACGAGCCACACTTAGAACAGCCGCCAATGTTGCGGATGTTCTGGTAATCGTTCCATAGGTCATTACCACTGATACTGCAGCTAGCATCACCCTGGATAAAGACGCCGCAGCCCCGCGTCTGATCGCCCCAGCAGTTGCCAGATTGGTTAATGCCGGTTTCGTTACTAGAGGGGTAAAGTTAGCAATGACATTGAGAATAGGAGATATACTGAGATTTCTGCATGATAATAGAGCAATGACTGATGGTAAGCAAGGAGAGGGGGGGAATGGAGCGACTCACGCAGAAGTAGGAAAGTAGGAAGGGACGTCGTTTCGCTGTAGGCTGTTGACAGCGTGGTCGCACCACTTCAGAAAGTTTGGGGTCGTGCACATGGATGAGCCCTTGCAGTTATAATCACTGGGGTCAGGTTCGAAGACGTTGGTCAAGGGGTTGTAGCCTTGTGCTTGGATGACGAATTTGCTTGTGTCGATGGTAGAGGTTCCTAGGGGTAATGTCCATGTGTAGGTGTAGTCCTTAGTATCCAGAGTGATGGCCCCCACCACCGACCACGCCCACGGTGGGGCTGTAGAGCCTTCAGGAAGTGTACCACTGTACTTGTATAGCGTGGTGCCCTCGACCATGTAGTGAGTGCAGACGTACTCGTCGATCTTGAAGTTGACACTCCATCCTGGATCGGTGTCGAACTCACACCCCACCGAATCCCAGATATAGAGACGGATGAACGCGTAAGGAACAAGAATATCGGCCGTGATAGTGGTCGAGTCTGCCCCTGGAGAGGATTGGTAGTTGGTGATGGTTTTCCCGTTTGGCAAAGATTTGGTGTTGACCGTAACCGTGCTGGAAGGGGACCCTATATCGCCACCTCCCCCAACTGCACTTACGTGAAACGCGTGGCTAGCTCCTGATTGAAGACCGCCAATGGTGATCGTGGTCATTGAGCTAGGAACGCTTGCAATAAGGCTGTCGCCTGAAAACACATAATATCCAAGAGCATTCAAGGCTGAACCCCAGGATAATTTAGCAGAAGTATAGTCTGAAGCCAAGACTGAGAGTCCAGAAACTTCTGCTGCAGCGCTTCCTGATGGCCAGGATGACGCATCAGTGTTCAATGGAGAGCCACCCTGGATTGCATCCATCATGCCCTGGATGTAGGAATCGCCGGGTAGAGTATCATATGGGTTCGGCAAAGTGTCATCTGTGAGCTGAAGAAAGCCAGCTCCACGCTCCTTAGCTAAATTAGTTACCTCACTAACTGCGGATTCCGGAACGTTGTATACGATGTGCCACAGTTTCCGCGGGTCCTTCGGCGTCCAATCGTTAGGGGTGTAAGAATTTGTGTACGCCTCGTAAGACAACTCGAAAGTCAGCAGGGTATCCATGGTATCCTCGAAGCAAGACGCCATGGGCGACCCAGGATTAAGAATTGTATATGCGCCGGGGTGGGCCCGTTTTGTATAGTCGTTAATATACTTGTATAGATCAACGAATTTATTGTTGTCACCACATTCAGGCCAACCTTCGTCAAAAAAAATACCGCCAATGCTGCTACCATAAAGTGTGTACCACATATCGATATCTTCCTCGATCTGCGCGGTCCAATCTGCCAAGTCTCCTGAGCCTAGGCGCGTGAGGAATTTTTGATCGCTCACGCCAAGGTAGCCGGTTCGCACGTAGCCAAGGACAGTTTTACCAGAATCCGAAGCGCGCTCAATAACATCTTCCCAGGTCTTGTCGACGGCAGAATCCGGACCATTGACGACATTGGCAACTAAGATGGGCATCTTCTCCACAGGATACTCGATCAGGCGATCCCAGGCCGCCGGGTCTGCGAGCGGATTGATGTACGACGCCACCGCGATCTGCTGCCCTTTGCCGCCGCTAGAACCCCCGGTGGGCGAGGGACCTGATGCTGTCTTGGTAGTCGTAAGGGTTGTAGTGAGTGCTGGCTGAGCATAACAGCTTGTGACAGTCGTGCAGGCCGTAGTGCAGTCGAATTGAGGGGCCCACTTGAAAACGCCACACTCCGCACCACATTGTACCGCCGTCTGCTGTGCGCATGCGGTGGCGCTGGGACCATTTTGTAGCGATGCCGAAGGGATTACGTTGTTTGTCGTGATGGCCCCATTATTGAGGAAGGCCCAGGAGAGAGCAACTGCCCGGGACGCCGCAACTACAAGGAGGGCTCCGGTAATAGTCGGGTTCAGCAAGCTGGCCTGGTTGAGCGTCCACCGCACTACTGTGTTCACCGCTGCTACCATCTCTGCCTCGACCCACGCCATTGTCCCCCCGTGCACTAGGAGCCAGTCAGGGGCCCCTAGCCGGCCAATTGAGTCGGCAATAATGATCTGAGCGCCACATATAAGGTCTACACCTACCTGGCGAGCACGAATCGAGTCAGTGGTATCCTCACCCACGTCGCAGCTGCTCGTGTCCGACCCGGATAGCAACGCCTGGAGGTGTGCCGCCACTGCCGGGTCTAGTTCGATACCCACGTCTCCGGCCATCGCGCCATTCCCGGCACTTGCAAAGGTCGTAATCACGACTGGAGTGCTTCACAATTGAACGTCAGCCCAGTCACACGGACAAAAGGACAAGGTAATGGCTTAAGGGGGTGTTGGCTGGGGTTTGCGTACCCAGTCGCTTTATCCTGCTCAGGAGGTGCCGTGATGGTCATCTGGGGCGTGGCATCATCAGTTACGACTATGATGGCAGTAGCCGTTTCGAGTTCTAAAGAGTCCTCGACATGGTTTGGGGGAATCTTGATGGGCACCGGGACAACACGGTCTCCCTCGTAGAGAAGCGGGAATAATAAAGCGGAAATCAAGATCCCGCCGGCATAATATATCAATGCCGCCGGGTTGCGCACCTCTAACGCGCCTTGCTCCAGGCTGCGGGGTTGGAGAACGTGGTTGGCGCCTTCAAGGAGGTCCGTAACAGCTTGGTAGCAATGCGTATCAACTTCTGTCGCGCAGTTGCTATCCATGGTAGATTTCAGACTGGTCTCCATGTCCGGAGACAGATATACCAACAGCCCGTTTTCTACTGGGTCACCATCAGCTGTAACTTCAATTGTAGACCCCGTTAGAGTGGGCGTAGGGACCTAGTGCGTGTCAGATGCCTTGTCAGAATGTGTCTGATGGATATTAGAAGAGAACGGGTAACTGGCACGCACCCCTTCTGTGGTATACTGGCTAAGGTTGCCCACTATAAAGTAGTCATCCAGCCCAGCTGCAAAGTGTGGCTGAGTAACTAGAGAGAAGAGGACAACGAGTAAGGGAAGAACGCGGATCTGGGGCGCCATTGCGTTCAGAGCAAAGGATGGTAGAGTGTCTGATGTCCCGTTGAGAGAGCCTACAGAGCTCAATATGCTGGAAATACTGTATTGTTATATAGTAGGCAACCCGGAGAAAGCCCGCGTCCAATTAACTTTTATTTTAGATAAACCAGGATAACAAGTAACACTCGAGACGCCCCTTAGCCACGGCAAAAGCGAAGCTCCGTGTTCCTAAGTATATAACGCATACGTAGATGGCTAACAGAGGGCCAGTGATCCATTTAGAAACTAGAAACCGGTGAAGCTAAGCCATGGAGAAGCGGAAAGGCTCGCAGAATTTGTATACATCTTGCCGTACCCGAGAAATCCTCTTTTAGTTTGCACAACACCTAGGACTAAAGCGTATAAACATCCAATGAAATTGCAAAGCTTCATAATTCTCGCATATACATGGGTCGGCCTAGTAGTAGATATCGCGCAATTAAAGGGACGCTTAGTCCCTAATCTAGTGGTACCCAGGGCTGAAATAATATCCCAAGGGAGCACGACCCCACAAGTCCTGATGTAACCCTACTATACCTCCGGGTGGAGAACCTGGAGAGGTCATAGCGTTATATGAACCTCCAACGGGCCCAATTTGCCGACCTATATCGCAGGGTTTTCGAGTTCTTGGCGAACCCTACTAAGCGGCTCTGAAATTAAAAGATGGTAAATTAGTTTAACGAAGAACTTCCGCTGGGCGTTAGCTCAAATACGCTCGAAAATGAAATTTTAGGAAACTAGTTCCATTTGTGGGTATATACTGGCGCCAACTGACCATAATCCGTTATGCTAGTTTGGTTAATCGCGAAGGGCTTTGAGGTTTACCATCATGGAACCTAACGAGGGTTCTGCTGCAGTCTAAATACTTGTATACATATGTGCTGCTTACTAGAGGTGTTCACTAGATCCGGCTTCGTGTGCTTCCCATGATCCCTAGGAAGGCTTAAAGATCCATAGGACTAAGGCATACAATCGTCTTAGTGTTCAATACCGCGGAATTGGGGAGAATTCTCGATCTAAGCGCGTAGTGAGGGTTACTAGTAGTGTACGCACTGTACTTACTTGCATTGGGAGGAGTGAGGCGATGTAACAACGGCATCAGTGGAGTAGGAGGGTAAACGGTATAACAAAGAGAGTAATTCAAGTGATAGATTAATGTCTCAGAAACAAATCTATACTCGGTGCCTTCGGCTTAATGCTTGGGCTAATGCCAAGGGGGGTATCAGTGCTCACCGTTCCCGTACCCACTCTGAATTAGTAGCGTACTTGACTAGTTTACCTGTACGGTGTACCCAGAGAATTCAGGAACAGGCCGGCTCGTAATTTCTGCTTAGACTATAAAGCGCCAGTCGGCGTTGCTTAGAACCATCCAATTTTGACTAACATCCGAGTCCCCCTCGGAACAAATATCCCTAATAGTTAACCACATGAGTTATTTACTTTTAAAGAGCCTGTCTCAGAGAATGCCTCGCTTTGCCCTGACCCAGTGGCAGCTGGCACCCTTGAAAGGGTCTTCGAAGGTACATGTCATGTATTGTGTTATGGTGCCAAATATTCATCGTCAGCTTTCTCTATACCCAGCGCTAAACAGACACACCATTGAGCGGAAGGGGGATTTTCTTTTTTCCAGCACTGTGGTCTATTTCCCAAATAGAGAATTCGCGCTTATAATATTCCGAGAATATTCCGGCGCATGAACCCGAGACCTATTTAGTAAAGTAGTACGGATTCTCGGAGTCGATGTCGCTTAATCTAAGAGATTTGTTCGGCCAAGCTACCAGTCAGGTCTCGGGGCGGTTGCCGCAAAGCCCCGCAAGGAGTTAAGGGTAACATCGTCACAAGATGCTTCAACAGCCGACTCGCCATACTTTCTATTTTGATTAGCTATTTTGATTAGCTATTCCGTACAGTCAGGGTAAAAAAGGGTCCCCCCATCCTCTTAGACCGAACCAACTACCTTTTAGTTAGTAGCAGCCCCATAACCTGACTAATACCAGGCTAACAGAAGTCAGACAGCGTCACTTGCTATATTAACCTCATCTAACTTTTGGAGCAACCAACAATCATTATCCCAATTCCACTGCGTGTACCAAACTGGCTGTCCTAGTCTGTTCTAGTTTTATTGCAATGGAACCCAACGATGCCTTTCTCCGCGCCTTTTTCCATGCGTGCTTTGCTGGTGACCTATCACAGACTCAGGAAGCCATCGCCACCGGCCGGCTAACTACCGAAAACCTCGACGAGGGACTCCAGTGGGCGACACATGGCGCACACCCTGACATCGTGGCCGCTCTGTTCGACGCTGGTGCTAGCGTGTCGACGTCAACGGTGGCCTCTCTCCCCGGGCCAAAGCTGCAGCAGCACCCGAGCGTTGTTCGCCACTTCTTGGAGCATGGCCTTGACCCCAACTCAAGGCTTTCTAGTGGCGAGCCACTCCTTCCGTACGTGTCAGCCTTAACTTACTAGTTAGCCAAAAACTCGGGCCTGCGGGCTAACTGGCTGACTGATTGTCTGACTGACTGACTCTGTAACCAACAGCATGTTAAAGAATCCCGCATCTGTTCGCGAATTACTGTCGGCGGGCGCCGACCCCAACCTGTGCGGGCCGAGGAAAATACCTCCCCTAGGCCGCGCCATTATAGCTATCAAGGAGGAAGACCTTTCTCTTCTTGATGTGTATATCGAATATGGAGCCACGCTATCCGCAGATCTCCTATTTTATGGCATGCGCCCGCGCGTGCGTCAAGCAGAACTTAAGACTCAGTTCCTTCTGAACAAGGGTCTCGATCCGAACGTGACCGACGACGAGTGGGGCACGCCTCTACACCTTGCCATTTGCTGCTCCAGAATAAACGTCGTCAAGCTGCTGCTGGACGCGGGTGCAGACCCAACAGTTGTATCAGGCGGCCGGAGAACCTATGGCAAAACTCCTACGCAGGTGGCAGAGAGTGTGCAAGATCCCGGTATCCGGGAGGCTATACTTAGTCTGCTTGATTCCCATACTAGGCAAGATTGCGTTTAGACTATGCACCTCGCCTAGCAGAATCTGGAAGGTAGTATTGCTTCGTACTCCTCGGCTTCTTCTAATGGAGACAAGCAGAAAGACCTGGGGGGGATACCTATTTAGGGCCTGTTTAGGGCCGGGCCTATTTCCCGATCGAGCATCCGCAATCAGTATCGTGATTCCTAGAGATTTAAAGAGAAAGTTGGTTTTGTCCCACTAGTGCTAGAACTATAGTAACTTACCTTGTTGACTGTTGCTCATTTTTATGTTCATAATTTCACAGTCTCCTTAGCTGGCAGACTTTATAAGTGTGGCTAACGTCGCAAAGAAATATCGTTAGGACAGACAGCACACGCTACTTCTCATTTGTATCTAAGGCACCGTGCCAGTCATCAACTATGAGATTACTGTGGTCGCTAGCATGGCTGGCCCTTACTGTCTGTGCGAATGCGTTTAGACCTGGTAAGGATCCCCTCCGCCATACACAAACAAGAAAACATCGTAGTCCACTCTCCATACTGACAGTCGATACAGAAGCAGCAACACAAGGCCCTCAGCTTGAAAAGCGCATCTCCCACCTCGTCAAACGATCGCGACCAAAGTGTGGTCCAAAACTGGCATTGGCTGACACGGTCAGCCTAAGTACAAGCAATTCACGCAATGTTTCAGTGGGCTTCATCCGCTTTGAGCGGAATACCACGGCCCTGCAGAAACGCATGGAGCTGCCGGGCGACAGCCTTGGCAAGTTCTACCAAAAAGAGCTGCCGCATCTTACTGAGCCGATCGTGCCACATGAGGAGGCGCCCACGGCGGAGGATATGAGCACGGGGGTGATGAAGGCTTTCAGCAGCGTGAGGCGCCGGCAGCAGTACAGCACAGGCACGGCACACCTTTCCGGCTGCACGACCATGTACATAATTAGCCGCAAGGGTGTATACGCTACACACTGGTGGGAGAACGTGTCGTTCGCCCCGGACCCCATATGGCGGAATTCACCAGACCAAACGGACGATGAGATATTTCAAGCCACGGTTATTGACATGTTAAGGAATGGAGGAAGATACCATCCCAAACTAGACAAGAACCTTATCGAGGATGACTATATCCGGGCTTACCTTATCCGCCCGGCCACTGCGTATAATGAGGGACCCGATGGTGTCGGCTATACACAGCGGTGGGCGCAGATTCGCACCACAGTTGGCGAGCTTGTACCAAAGTTGCAGGACACCTCGCTGTGGACGGAAATCCCGTACAACGCGCTGGACAATGACGATCCAGACCTTGATGAGCAGGATGGAACTAGTGGGAAGAATCTCTTCAAGTACGACCCTTTGCATATCTTTGAATCAGGCGTGAAGGGGCCTTTGGCGATGCTATGGGTTGAGGACAAGCTTACGCCGTACCATGAGGACCACTGGTAAGTTGGCTGCAAGGCTATGCTTTGAAACAATAAGTGGGTTGGAGGCAACGTTATAACTTCGCCTGGATAAACTATCCTGTATGTCGTACTCCAGGATCGCAGTGCTGAATCTCAGTAGATTCTGGCATTTAAACTCTCGCTACACAAGCGCCTAGGCGTAACACAGAGCCGGTAGGGCCAATAAAACGAGCTATATTTGAATATTTCGATCAGTATTTATAGAGAGCGTCGCGAAAAGAATCCGTGTGGCAGTACCTGAATTCTCCAATTTGATTGGTTAATTATCCACAACTAACGAGTGTCCCAATCCGCATAGATATAGGTCGTGTTCCTTTTGATGGTGTTTCTTCCTAGCAAGCTATTTTTCTAAAATAAAGACAATTATATCTCAAGGCCACTTGTATAAGAGAAGTGGAGGTGTCTGTTTGTTGCCCGTTTACTTCGGTGAGGTCCAAAATTAACGAAATTGTGGCGAAGCCCAGCAGACAAGAATAAAAGTGGGTGGTGGGACTAACGGGGCCCTGACTCAGGAACGACGGATCACGCACTGTCACTTGCACTAGACTCGGCTACTTTCCGCTTGGCTGGCACAGATATACTCCTGCCAAACTCGGTTAGTATCACATACTGGGGAAACGACCGCTTGGACCCTTGGGGGTCATGGCGCTAAATTATCTACGCTATTTAATACGCCCTGAGCCGTACGAAGTAATACATCCGTGGCAAGCTAATAAAAGCTTTCTTGGCCCTCGGCTAGCGGCGTTGGTGGATATTGCGAGGATCACCGAGCAGCGACTTTGTAATGTCGTTATAGCTAGATAATCCAGAGAGACGGAGTATCTGCAAGGAACACTATATAAGCGAGCAAGCTGCTATACATGGTTTAGGGACCTTATCAAGAAAAGTGGTATAGCTCGACCGTGGTCTGCTATCACTAGTATTAACCCTCATGATTAAAACCCATCGGGATACTGTAATATCTATAAGACCTAAGATTAAACTAGCAAGGGTCATTGTAACTAGGAATCTCAGTAATTAGACGGTAACGAATCCAGACATGGGAGAAATCTCGTAATACCATCTTGATTAAATCACGCCTGATTAGGGAATATGGTGAGGTTTTACCGTAGTGCACGGACATGGGGAAACAGAAAAAGGGATACGAAAAAACTGGTAGCACGAAGGTATGTAGCCAGTCCAGTTGGGTGTGTCGTTCCCAAAGATCAACTATCAACTTGATAGGGCTATTGTGGCTACAATCCTTTTACCGCAAATCAGGGGAGAAGGTCTTAGATGTACCCACGCCGTGGGCGCCCTACACCCTAGCAAAGCTAGCAGGAGGCCCGACTAATCAGGGCCGGATTCAGGTATGCGGGAGTCGGTTGGCTAGAGTGTTTGTTGGATAGGAGAGGACTAGCTATCAGTAATAATATAATATTGAATATTCGGCCTAGGAGAGACCGCTAGCAGAAACACCAGTATCATTCCCATAGCTTGAATTCCACTTCACCTGGCACCCGTCTCTCTCCCTCTACTATTTCAACCTGAATATCAGTCTCGGCATTTATGTCTCTGAACCCCTGTATCATCTCAGGGTACAGATCCCTCATTGGCATTACCTTTATCAGCAGGCGAAATCCTTGGAGACGAGGTGCGGACTTTTTCCGGTCTTGCAGCCATGATCGAAAAGTCTCCACCAGGTATTCGCTCTCGAATTCCCATTCCCATTCATTCTGAAGACATAAATCGTCAATGACAGTCAGCCACTGGATGTTTTTTGGAAGTGCTTCTGCTAGACCAACCACATTTGGCGCCGAGGGAGCAAGTCCAAGCAGAAATGGAATCGGAACTTGCAACCTCTCAAGCATATGTAGTCCCCTGAATATTTTGAAAGACCCGCTGATGGAGAGTTCCGGGAAGTTGATGTTATGCTGTATCATGCCTGATCCTGCCGAAATAGTCAAATCTGTCAGGGTCTCCCGAAGGTGAGATAGATCCACTGCAATCTGATCCAAATCAATGACATTCCTAACAAAATAATTCTCTAGATCCTCGCGGTAGTGCCAATCCCATCTAAGCTTCCGAAGCCCTCGGGTGACTGACAGCACTTGGCTCAGATGCCTTCGCGCAACATTGTCAAGTCAAGCGATGCGAGGCTCGATGGTTTTGGTGGATAGTCTCCAGGCCACACGAAGGTAGCAGGATTATCCACTAAGGTCTTTATCCGTTGAACCGACGGCAAATAAAAGGAGGCGAGAGTGTCCGCCGTGTTTCTGATGTTCGAGTGTCTGTGCGTATCGAAACCAGGGCTTGGATACACAACTGTCACATCCTGGAGATGTGTAAAGGAAGGGAGACGGTCATCCTGGGGCTCCTGGCAGAGGGCCGAACGGAGCATCATTCCCATGATACAACTTTCTCGGGCAAAATGCACGCCCAGATAGAGGCATCTCAGATTTGGGAGCCGTGAGAGTAAAAGTGCTAAAAACGCGTCCACCGTCTCCGCGCGCAGCTCTTGGATCCACTCTTCAGTATATGGGATATGTAACCTTTCGATACATTTCACAAACTCATCCAAGACGGCTTCGGTGACCGGGAGTTTTGGGCTTTTCTTTTCAAAGTCCCAGATACTGAGTTCAAAAGAGTCACCATTGAGGATCATAGTATGGACCAAACTGGCCAACTCGGACCTGTGCACAATGCTTCGTAGAAACTGGACGATCGGGGGGTTCTGAGTGTTTGTCCATGTCCATTCAATCTGGTAGTAGAGGTACGGCTCGGCAATAGAGTGCCAGTTCCTACACGTAAGACATACCGCATATAGGTCACTGGGCGATAGGGGTGCGAATATCATGTGCAAAATCTCTGGAGGGCTGCTGAGAATCGAGCACGCCATTTTATTCTATTTTTCTCCCGACGTTGCAAGGAATGCTCGTCGAGGCAGAGAGTGGTGTTAGAGGTCTGGTCTCAGTTACGAGCGGCAGGCCAAGTAAAATATCTGAAAGGATTTACAGAATTTCCTACAGTCCGGATGACTAGGAACTAGACCATTGGGCCCAATAAACCTCGCTTCCAAAAGAGTGCTATTCTACGTTTGAGTTAGTCCTGAAGGTAACTCACTCAGTGCTGAATATATGAAGATTATTAGAAATAAGATATATTGTACTTTTTGAAATGATGATATTTCTCAATTAATTTGGTGGGGCCTTGAACATGTTTGGGGCTCGGTTAGTCACGAGAATTTAATAATCTAGAGCACAGATATTACCCGGACTCCTTCGACCCACTATAATAGTTCAAGTTAGTACCCTCCATAGTGTCGTCGGCTTTCTATAAGGTAACATCGTGTCTGTACTAACCAGTACTACTTAAAGCCGGACTCACTCTTTCTCGTTCATTTACAATCGGCGAAAGACCGAAAAATGGACCAGCAAATTGCCTCTTACATCAAATTTTCATCCAATGATAGACAGTGTGTACCGAACTATCCCTCCCTCCCTCTCTCTCTCTCTATTACCGGTCCCCACCTCGTCATTTGGACCGGACTGTCCGTCGGGACTGTCCGTCGGGACTAGACGCTTACTATCCAGCTCAAGTCCTAAGGCACCATGTCTGCAGCTCGAAATTGAACTCTGCCCGCTCTTACAGTATACCCTCCGTCGAGCAACGCCGGACGATGACCCAAGGCCCTTTGTCTTCATGTGGTCTCCCCTCAATGAGGGCTATCATCAAGATGGGTTCATACTTCTATACCCTAGTGCGTGGTGCACCCTATACCCTAGTACCTGGGATATGTACGTACATATCGCATCCGCGCCCGCTGATTGGTCAGATTTTCGTGTTCTCCCGTGTTCCCGCTGCCACAAGTGCATAGCAATATATCCGCCGCTGCTGTCCCCATTCGTTATCTCTTATCGTCCAGCGGTACGGATAGTCTGCCCGGCTTCCTGTTAGAATCAATACTGCAAATCAATCAATTAATTAATCAGAATATAATCTCTTGTTTACTTCTTTTTCTCTTTTCTCAATTCCCTCCCGGGAGATTACTCTACGGATAGATTTTTTTCTAAATCCCACTGCTACTCTAAGTATAAAAGATTAACAGTGACTGTCAATAGACCAGGATAACTCTTGCTTTTGTTTTATCTGTGAGAAAGATAATCCGATATAATCAGTATACTATTATATATATATATATATATATATATCTGGTAATATTATAGGTTAACTTTTAGAATATTACTCCCTAAGACACGGTATGCCTGCTCTCCTAATTTTTCCCAATCCTCCCCAGTCTCTCCCAGTCTCTCTCTTCCTCACGGAACTGTTTCCTACCACCGCATATATACAAATCTAGAAGTATAGATCTCTTCTTGTACAATTCTATGTACCGTGTCTGGATCTGTACATTGTACCAGTACACGGTCTGCCCGCGGTATCTGGAGGGCCATCTCTGCCGGCAACATAGTAAGTATCCCACTGCCGTAACTCCGGTGCTCCGCTAGGCAGTCTTGACTGCTATACTCCAGCGACCGTGGCTGGATCCAGTATAAGAGCCCTGTGTATTCCTGTCCTCGAATAGTACTTCTGTACCGGGGCTCCCGATCTTCCCGGGCCTCGGCTGCATCCTCTACCCGTATATCTGTCACATGCGTGAGACCCTACACAACTATCTCCTGCGCGTCCATCCCGAGACGATATGGGTGGGACACGGGGGTCGCCGGCCGCTGAACAATCCCAAGTCGCTGGGGCGCCCGATCTACTGCCAGCGGTTTTTCCTCTCGGCGGCCGGCAGTACCTTCTTTGAGATCCGGTCCTCGGTGCAGGCCAAGCGGCTTCTCCAGAAACCGGCGGGGATAAGTTACATAGTATTTATCCAGGCCCAGGCCAATCTCGACCTTGACTGTGATCTGGCTGCGGACCAGGCAGACGATTAGCAGATCTCCGCACAGCGGGACTCAACCGAGATCTCCCCCTGGCTGGAGCTAACGCAGTGGCCGAAATATCTCTGTGGTTATTTCTTCCCGGCCGTCACAGCCCTGGCAGCTCTGCCCTACCTATCCCACAAGCCGCTGCTGATCCAGTTCAGCCAGAGTCTTACGCAACTGATTGACCGCGCGTACCGGACCATCAAGGACTATCGGATAAATAAGTTCAATCAGATCCAGATTAACAGTTTCCTGCAGCAGCCCGGGATCTGGGATTGCCCGATCTAGATCTATCTTAAGCCCTTCACATACCAGCGCTACCGGCAGGTGTAGCAGTACCTGATCTGCTTTGTCTACCGGACCAGCCACCCCGGCCAGCCAATTGTACTCCGCCACCAGCTGACCACGGCCCAGTTAGCCGTCCTCGATCGGATAGAAGTATCCGCGCAGCAGCTCCTGCACGGGGCCAACTCTCTGTCCGAGATTCAGGCCCAGCTGGACAAGGTGTGTCTGGCCTTCTCAATCGCCCTGCTCGACTATTCGCTAAAAGGGGACCTGTTCGAGAGTGCTCTGGTTGGCTTCCTGGCCGCATTGGGCATTGACACGGCTAATCAGATCTTCTACGAACTGTACGGGTACACCGGCTACCTCTCAGGGCTGGTAAAGATAGTGTAGATACTTGTCGTCGAGCAGGCAGTCCGGATAGCAGATACCAGTAATATAGCGCACCCCGCGGATATATTAGATATAATGCGGGAGCGCTTCCTCCTCCACAGGGTACGGGCCCCCTTTGGCTAGATCACCCGCCTGCGGACATACAGGAAAAAGGTGCAGAATATTACAACCAGCCAGAGCTATATATACTGGAGTGAGAATAAGTAGACACTGATGTACAAGGAGCTGCGGCTGACTATGACCGGGTTTCACTGCTTTATCCGGACAGAGATGGAGCTGGCCTAGACCGATCTCAAGGAGCTCTTCCTTATCCACGAGAAGGAGGCCCGGGAGGATATTGTCTCCGCCCTCTATCTGGCCCAGCTGCAGGACAATCCGACGAAGAATATACAGGGATAGAACTTCCTCCAGCATCTACTTAACCGCGCGATATTAGCGACCGGCAAACCGTAGTGGTTGATAAACCGGGTCCTGACTAGCGACTGGCTCCGCGAAGAGTTTGTCGATATGGTAGTCAGCGAGACTTAGGTAGTCTGGTATAGTGCCGCTATCTATAACTATCTCCAGTAGGTAAACAGTTTCCTGGAGCGGCTACTGCTGCTGATCTATATTACCGCGGGCTAGCCCGGGCAGGCTATAGAGCTGCTCAGTCTACACCATATTAATACTGTCTATAGTTGCCACCGGAATATTTTTATCGAGAATAGTCTGGTTAGCACTGTAATCGTGTACTATAAGGGTTACTCGGTAAGTAACTCGACCAAGATTATCCACTGCTATCTGCCCAAGCCGGTCAGTGAGCTGGTCGTGTACTATCTCTGGCTAGTAATGCCGTTCGCCCAGAACCTAGAACAGCGGCTGTACAGCCGGTAGGGGAAGCTGTCGCCCTTTCTCTAGCCCCGCGGGGAAGGTAGCTAGGACCCTGATCAACTGCGGACAGTCCTACAGCAGGAGGCTCAGAGCCAGCTGCAGACCAAGCTAAATATTCTGTTGTATTGTTACACAGCGATTGCCATCTCCTGTGTGTATCTGAAGTGCGGTGGCTTCAAACACAACTACAGGACTGACCAGCCTGTGTTCAATAAGCAGGCCAGCCACGGATCCTGGACCGCCGGTATAGTGTATATATAAGGTCTGCAGGAGGCTCCCGGTCACATAGAGACACAATAACAGTAGTATTATACTATCAGTCGCGAATGGCATGGCTTTCTTAGATTTAAGATATTGCTGGGCCCGCGAAAGTGATTAGTAGAGAAGAATGCACACCCAGTCAAGACCCGCTCGGTGAAACGGCTGTATATGATTATTACTGTAGATCCCGATATTATTATCGAGTATACCGGGAAGTAGTCTGGATAGGGATTTCTTCTCTATACTAGAAAGTATTGTAGGGATACCAATCTATACAAGGAAAAATGCGATATATATGTGATCGCAGCTACGCTGAGGTAACAGTACTACAGCACTACGTGAGGGAGCCTTTCACTTTAGCTACGGCCCTAGTGACTGCACCACAGGCTTAACCCTACGGTGCTTAACTACCCTGTGTATATAAAGGACATAGCGACCCCTATCTTTAGTAGGAGATCGGCAACTCTCTATCTCTTATAGTATACCGCTACTTGTAATTATATCTGGTAGTATATCTAAACTCGGAGACAGAGTTTCTCTGTCCAGTATAGCCTTATAATACTCGATTAGATTCCGCAGATTGCAGTAAAATATAATAGATCTCAAGAAGTTAAGTAGTCTCGCTGGTCGAGCTGTCTATAAAAAATAGTATATAACTAAGAAAGAGAGACCCTGTCGATTAAATAATTTAATAAAAATAACAGAATTTACTATACCTGAGAGTCCTAAGAAAATAGCCAAATAATAATAATAACTTCTGTAATAGCCGAATCTTCTACAGCTATTTAAACAAACGAAAGAAACTATCAGTAACAAGATAGTTATAGCAGTTTTTAAAATATTATAGATATCGGTAGAAGAGTAAATAAGATCTATAAAATAATAAGTATAAGTTATAAAAACTATAGTATAGTAAACAGTAATATTTACTACTCAATAGACAGTAAAAGAAACAGTTTAATAGATTATAAATAAATTTATATAATATATAATAGTATAGACTATACTATCTATAGCTCTACAAACTTCTCTATTGATAAATATCTCTGATAGTACCACTCCAGCTATAATAATAGAAGAAACTATATTAATAGATAAAATAATAGTAGTAAGAAATAAATATTTCTATTGGAAAATTTTTAATTTTGAACAGATCTCTAAGTATAATAATTATTTCGAGAATAATACCGCAGATAAATAGCTATAATAAGTAAATTAATACTTTAAGAATAAATAAATTCTTATACAGAAAGAAGCTACTGAGATAAAGAAAATAATTGTTACTAAACAGAAGTTTACCGGGACTATACAAAAATACTGGGAAATAAAAAAATAATATATTATAGTAAAAGATAATAATTCTATTATTACCTTTAGAGTTGATCGGGTTCCCCGAAAAACCCGCCCCGAACCCGCCCCAACCCGGCTCCGGGTCGGGTGCGGGGATGATAGGCTGAACCCGCTCCGGGTTTCGGGTTCTATAGCCAAAACCCGCCCCAAACCCAGGGAGCCCGCGCGGGTTGGGTCGGGTAGGGTTATCTGGGTCGGGCTTAACCCGCTGACCCGCCATTTCTTAATATATTACCAATACTTCTATATATTATATATATCAAATTCTCTCTACAGATAGATTTTTTTATAAATACTCAGTGATAACTTAATATTACTATAATAGAGATTTTTTATACAAACTCAAGATAGGTTATATAGAGTAAATAACTTGTTAAGTAGTAATCTAACTATAGATAGATCTATATATATCCAAGATTTTAATATTTTCTAACAAATTTCAGAATAAAAATATATTTATTATTGATATTAGACTATCTCTTGCTATTATTTAGCTGTTAATAATAACCCGGTTCTTGGTTTATAGCTGTATAGTGTGGGTGATCTAAAATTAACACCTCCGATTGCTGATTGTTAGAGGTTATTGGTTGTGTAATTGAGGATATAATCTTATTGTGAGAATTTTTCCTAAATATCTCAGATAATTTATTCTTTCTATACTCTTGCTGTCCTTTTAAGTTCTTCTTATCAGAGTTATTACTAATATAGTGGACAGATCTCCGATCCAGATCTATTTCCGGATCAGTCTCCTTATTCTTATTATCTTTAGAAAGAAGACAAAACTCTTTATATAGACAAAAAGTATCAGTTATTATCTAAATTATTGAAGATTTAATTGTATCTGAAGCTAAACAACTACACCGATAATAATATAGGTCTCGTACTGTACTGAAAAGATTTTCAACACCGACCTTACTGATCGGAATAGCTAGGAAGTCTCGAGCAATATATAATAAGACAGGAAATCGATTACAATTTGCCTTCTACCAGTCAAGGATAGAGGTCAAAGAGTAAGAATTACAGGGGGCTATAAATTAATCTATAGTTAGATTTACTTATATAGTACAGGGTTACAGAGAACTTATACTTATCAAAGAGATAATACTAAAGCTCAGTATACTGTATATTACAATTTGTGGTAGATTTTGACCTTGAATAAAGCCGATTTCTTGTATATTTAACAGCCCGCTCAACAGATATTTAAGATTTACTTTGTACTATCTCAGTTACTATACCCGGATTTTTTACTTGATAGTATCTAAAGACTTATTGTAATATATTACAATACTTAATATCCTAACAAATTTTATTATCTCTCCAGGATCCTGTGTTAAAGACTATTAGTTTCTTAGAGAGATTAAGAATAGTTACAATAGTATAAATTAATCTATAGAACTTATAGGTTTTACTATAATAATACTATAACTTTGAACTCGCTGCCCCAAGTCTCTTATAGATAGTCTGCTACTATAGATATTACTTTTTATAGAGTCGGTTTCTTGAATCCTCAATATAATTAAAAAGAACCTTATAGATATTATAGATCTGGTAGTATATTAGTAAATAATTAATCTGTAGATAGATTTTTATATCTTGTAAACCGAGATACTATAATATTTAGAGACCTATCTTATATACAAATAGAAATTGTATAAAATATAAAAAAGATATTCAATATATTTCTACTTATCGATATCTAATAAAAGTGTTACTATACTTTTAAAAACCGCTGTTGTATATCTTATCAAGTATTCCTGAAGATCCTTGGCTCAATATAATATAAGATATATTGAATTCCAGTATATTTTACAGTCTAGTAGTAGTATTAGACTTTTTCTCTTACTATTAGTAATTTCTTGAGTAAATCAAAACTGCTGTCATTACTAGGGACTTATAAGAATATATCAAATCAGTTTTCAAAGCTAAATAGTAAATATCTATTAGTTAGTGAATTAGTAATCTACCTAAAAATTAATTTATACCTTTTTAATTATTTATAGAAGGCCTTTTTTCTCTTCTTATATATTTTTATCGGTATTATCCCAAGACAGATCTATATTATTATTCTTGAATAGAATTTTTAACTCGGCTAGAAAAGTTTTCACTGCTAGTTAAATAATATAAGAGATATATAAAAAATAATAAGACTTTTCCAAAAACTTTTAGAATTCTGGATTATAGAATTATTTAAAAAAGCTTAAGATTATTCTTAAACTCTTATTAAATATATTACTTAAGTATAGACTGTATATCGATATTAGTCTTTTTATAAGACTAGTAAACAGTGTTTTATTATTACTCATCTAGTTACTGTCAGAATTGATCAATCTATAGATAAATTTATTTATATTATCAGTTATAATATCTAATAGACAATATAGTAGATTATACTATTCCAGTATCTTAACTATCTTGAATACAAGATATCTACCGGAATAAGTCTCTTCTAACAGTAGAAAACTAAGCAGAATCTTATAATACTTAAAGTCTATAGAGATAAAATACTTAGTAATACCTAT